TTTTTGATACTATACTGTGTATAGTAGTACTACTACCCAACCACGTGTGGTTTAAGTGCGACTGAGCGGACGGGAAGCCCGCTTTTCCACTACATGATGGTCGTATGTGACAAACAAAATTGTTAAAGGTATTCATAATCTACCGTTCTGGTGGGACTCGGCCATCTCGTAGACGGCGCGGGTAGATGTGCCCAATGATATTAAAAGGCTCGGTAGGTGCGCTTACACGTGGAGAGACTCGCTTCCCCATGTGCTGAAAGGCTCCAGTGATTGGTCTCCGAAGGAACTGTTCTGCAAGCAGCACGGATAGGTTAGTTATACCCTTTTTACTCTGGATTGATCACTCTTCCCCATCCCAAGTCAAAGGGTCCGACAGGATATCTAAGACCACGCCTGCCTTCTGGGTCTCCACAGCTAGCGTGGCATACTGCTTTTCGTCCAAATCGTCCACATCGATCGGCCAGGATAAGTAGATTTCTTTAAGAGCAGCCACCTGAGAACCCTTCCTGGCGGCAAAGTCACGGAACAGTATACTGAGGGCCTTCTCCCAGCCGTCCATTCCGTGCGAGATCAAGGACAGCTGAGAGACCGAAGCAGGTATGGGGTCACCCAGAACTAGATCGGAATAGTTTGATTGGTGTTCACCCAATGCGTGAAGAGTGCAGATAGTGATTTCGAGGGGAAGCTCGAGCTTTTCCAGCCGACAAAACCCGCGCATTGACACTTTGCCCAGAGTAATCGAGCCGCGCAGTTCATCAATCGAGATGGAAAGCTCCACGAGGTGGCTCCCGGTCTCGCGCTCGATTGCTGCAACGAATCGGCAGAGATCCCAATCCTGAAGGCCACCGTTGTTGTTCGTGGTATGCGAGTATCTCAATGTCTTGAGGTTTGGGGTATGTTTTAGAAAGCCTGCTATGGCCTTGTCATCAATAGAAGCGCTCATGAAGTGAACCGCTTCAAGTGATTGGAAACCATTGGGCAGATATGCAGACGTAATGGCCCCATATCCGTCGCCTGTGCCTACGCATCCGAGACCCCAGAAGGACCGAACGTGCGGCAAGGTCAGGAAACAAGTTGCCCAATCTAGATGAAAACTTTCATCAACATCCTGCGAGGCTGATACCTCGAATCTTGTGACTTGGGCCATGCTCGGCTTGTGGTGAGGGATAGGTGCCCGCTTTGATCGGCGCATAATAGCTTCGAGAAGCTTGTTAGTTGCAGCGACCGGCTTCCACTCTCTTGGTAACTTGAGAACCTTAAGATTGGGCAGGAGTGTCAAAACAAAAGCCGCAGCATATTGTGAATAGCGGGCGGCGTCAAGATCATCTTCAATGGCTGCGTAGTATTCCTGCCACTCAAGGCCTGCTTCCCGTAAGTATGAAGACTCAGCTAGCAGTCTGGTCACAGCTTCATCACGACTGGTATCGGTGGCAAATGTGTGAGATATGCCCCTAGTGAATTGACCGTCTTTCTCGAAATCTGCCTCTCCAACGTAGTGGGCTACTGTCGGCTCGACCGCGATGCGTGCAATCAAATTAAATGCAGAGCAGGCTGTGTAGGGAAGGACGTGCAAGGACAGCTTATGCTGGACCACTAGATCTGTCTTGCCGTACTCAAAGCTATCGAAATGCCAGCGTAGTCGATTGTGGTGCTTAATATGTGGGGTACAGAGTGCATACAGATGCTTGCAGGTTAGGGCCAAGCTCTCAAACCCCTCTGGCAAGGAATGTAGGATAGCATTTTCCAGGGGCTCATTTGGCAACTGCGTGAACGCAGGCATGGCGGTGCTAGGATATGGATGGAAATGACCACAGGCGCGAGGCGAAATTCCCTTTGACCATCCGATGAAACACTATCAAACACCGAGCGGCGCGGGACAATCACTACCAGAGTCACCTGACAGTATTTGGGTACTGCAAAGAAAAGCTGCAGAATACTACCTTAGTACGGGACTGGAGGGATTTTAGCGTGTGGGATGGGACCCATCAACATACCAGCTGCGGTCCTGCGGAGTATATGTATCCTCCGAATATGTATCCAGATTCTACGCAAGGAGGTCGATCTTAAACGGCTCCCAAATTGTCGGTCGATCCTGCAGGTCTGAAGCATGTGTCAATCCGCATATGCTGCTGCTTCTTTGAAATTCGGAACTGACTTGCGTCCGGCTGTAGATCTTGAAGACAATTCTTTGTATATTTTGTCAATATATTGTTTCTCTGGGAACCGGTGCTTCGCCCAGGCAATGCCTATAAAAACCAGACCGGTCCTGTTGATGCCTGAGGAAATCAGCTCAGTGCAAAGTCTCTTATTATTTTCTATTGCCATTGCCTAGCAGATTATATTCTATAAAGGAGTAATTTGCCCACTATGTATATACTTCCCTACATGTTACCTGTTCTCCTGACGGTGTCAGCAGCCAGCATCGCCCGCAGTACAATGGAGCAAGCTGACGATATTATGGTGTACCGTGACGGGCCTACTGCCGATGAATCGGCAGGTATAGGTGTCGAATTGGAGAGTCCGTTCTTCAAATTTGTATATCCAGGGTGTTCGATGGACGACACCAACGCGGCAAAGAAAGCAGTGGTTGACAAATGTCAGGGCACAAACTGGTTGTTGACGGCCGACACGGGGGTTGACCCCGGAAAACTCAACGCCGAGTTCATTTTTGACGGCCAAAAGATCAAAGTCGGGACTGGAGAGCTTGTAACGGCTGGAAAAGCAGCAGCAGACGATCTGGTAAGGATTGTATGAAGTCCCATACTAACCTGTGTCCTATTAACCCGTGTCTCCAGGTAAAATGGTACCCATGGCAAAAACCGCAGACTGAGGTGCAGATTACCAATAATAAGTGCAACCTATGGAAAATTACTAGCCCAACCAGTAAAGATGAACCAGAAACTGTGCTGTGGGACCCTCAGGTCACTGCGCTAATGTCCCTTGAGGCACTGTACAGTATTATGTAGATGCATAAGGATAACAAGGTCTATGTTCTCAGCGGGATTATGCTTAGAATAGACTATTCTATTCTTGTTACAAAGCCATACTTCACCCCTGTCAAAGAAATTAAGCCGGCCGTGCTTTCTGATGATGTGCTTGTATTCTGCTCCTTGGTCTTATTACATGTGAAATCCTTGGACGGTAAACTACTTAAGCCAGACGAGAGTCCTAAGCTGCGTATGCCCTTTATGCCTCGAAATGATTTTGTGACCCTCTATAACCAAGTCGAGTTAAAGCTCAAGGGGATTCCTCTTTTGCCTCTTTTTGAGAAGCTCGCATGCTACAAGGTGTCAGCTGGTAAGCTTGCGTAAGTAATGTCATATCTCCTCTTGGTCTGTTTGCCCAACTGACAGATTGAAGGCTTGATAAGAATTTCTGCACCGGGACGGCCAAGGCTCCAGTGCCGAACAACGTGTTTGCCGGCCTCACGTTCAAAAATACGGCTTCCAAGTCTCCCGACGCCACGCTGACCGTCAAGGCCTGGATTGAAGGCATCACCGCCAAGAAAGACTTGCTTACCGCATTTGACAAAATCATTGACAGTTCCATTGGGGGGGCTTGGATCCAAGACAGAGAAGATGTACCAGGGGACTCGCAATGTGCCTTTATTCGAATTCCGAGACCTTAAGGACATCACAACTTCCGGAATCGTGGATTTCATGATTCAGGTCGACACGGCTGTCCAAGATCTCCACAAGAAATCCAAATTTGCTCCCAAATAAAGTCCGCGATCGCACAGCAGTGGAATCCAGCTCCTTGGATTGAAGACGACCGACGGTGGGGGGAGATTCGGTCCCATAGATCTTCGTTATAGTGACTGTATTATTATTAAAATTGTTTGTATTATATTATAGTTAAAGATATTAGAACCTTTATATAGAAACCTCAATTTTATAATACCATAATCCGTGGGACCCTCTTACAGGATTGATTAATATTTTCAGTCGTGCTGCCGTAGTGACATGAATAAATGGAATATACACTCCTATATGAGCCCAAATTTCTAGAACAACTGTAGATATTTTCCTCTATCAATTGTCGGTCTAGTGAGGGTACTCAATTTAACAACCAGATCTATGGAACAACAGACGTAGGTATTTCCGGGCCTACTCATGCTAGCCCACGTCAAAAGTTGATGGAAGAAGAATTTTAACCTCTTTCAAGATTAGTTATATACTGCAAAAGCCACGTACCAATAGCAAGACCAACCAGAGGCCTTGAGAGGCCTTCGCAGGAGTTCAGGGGAAGGACTGAAGATAGGGCGGTACTGGTGCTAAACACGTATCGGCTAAAGAATAAAAAGAAAAAAGTATAACGAAGATATGCATACAGCAGACGGGATTCGCTAGTGGATTGGGCAGCGTTGTACTCTTTCTTTTTGGCTAGATAAAACCTGCCGGGGTAGAATAATTACCTACGGATAGCTAACAGTACTCCAGGCAAAACCATGCACTATATATAGCCTTGTTATATTTCCCCCTCGGGCATTGACTACGTGATTCTGCCTTTGCATCAGACAAGTGTAACAGAACAAGAATCAGTCTCAGTATTAGATTCTGCTATTATGAATTCGACGTTTTTCCTCTGCTGATGCGCCTACGTATGTTTACCTAGTTGACAGGCTGTCTACCGGGTGTAGACGTCGAGAAAGCTGCCCAGTACCGCCAATGGCCGTAGATATCTATGATCGTAGAGTGAACCAGCGATCAAACTACTAGAGAGCAGGATCAAGGCTCAGATAGTTCAAACCCAAGGAATCTCTGATCTCGACTTGGAGGAAAGACCCTGCAGTTGCCAGTAGGCCAAAAAGGTACTAAACAATAGCAGTCTACCCCTGTCACTGATCGGTAAGCGCTGTGCTGTTCCTGTAGCACTTTCCCTTGCATTATGAATAATAACATTAGACTAAAGAAAGGCTAACCAGGTCTTCAGGGCTTGTGTCCATTGTTGTGTGGTTACGGGCCGTTTCTTCATGGCCGAGGTTTGTCTTAATCCATATGTGATCGACTACTTGAGGTTAAACTTGGTGATGGGGAGTAGAACAAAGAGGAAACTTTGTTTTGAGAAAGGGCTATGAAAGAAATGGGAAAAAGACAAAGATCAGAAAAAGAACGGGTCGGGGGGGGGGGGAGGAGAAGAGCTGCTTTTGTAAGCCGGACAAGAGGCCAGCAAAGTTGTTTTCTTTGCTCCATTGCTTCTTTTTGTTCCTTTTGTCACAGTATTTCAGCTCCGACCTCTCATTTACTTTTGCTCTCATATATCAAGCACCCCCAATATATTCTCTATGTTGCAGTTCAAACCAAAGTTTTCTTAAAGCTACTTGGACATACATCATGGCTACTTCTTTTCCCACGAGTCTGTCTCAAGCTTTGAACCTTCAGCCGTCCAGCGGCCTCTCAACCACGCTGCAGCTCCCCTCAGACATTGGCATTGGTAATGGTACCTAACAGACATCCTGCCTGCTCCAGCATTTTCCTTTTTGAGCGCGGACTGGCTCGCCGGACTGGGTTACAGTGACAATTGGAGGCTGCGTCATCGGAGATAACACTGTCGGCTTTGTGATTGGCACAGGTAGCAGTGTGATTGTGTCGAAGGTTTCGGGTAGTACTAAGAAGACTTTATTTCTCAAATTCTGAGTTACGGCCCAAGAGAAGCGTTAAATAGCTTTACCGCGAATACCTTGTAGATCAACGAGAACTACAGTTTATTGGTAAATATTAACATTAGTCTTTGAACCTAGATCAGATGTGATCTAAACTTGGCGGATGATCATCTAACCACATTACGTAAAAGTTGAGGGGTTACACAAAGCTGACCGATCCACACTTGTGATCTGCCTCCCATATATCTAGAAGCTTGTATTGCCTTTCAACGGCGGCTCTTATTAGAATATCAGCGAAATGCCACTATGGCGATACTAAGCACTACTATCCTATGCCGAGTGGGGAATATCACATAGTTTAAATGACAAGGAGTCATTTAGATCCTTGGAATAATGAGTGATTTAGGTGATAATATCATCGAGACACTGATCGGCATAGCCAAGGCCGCAGCCTCCATCGATGGAACGCAGTACCCCACAGTGCCACCTCAGATCTCGTATTCAGTGCGGTATACTCTGTACCTTTCACACGATTGTCCACACAGCTCTTACCATTTGGGTTGAAAGTTAGATATTGCCCAGGATACGTAAGCCAACAGTCTAGAGTCCTGTGACTCTTGGCAAAAGGAGACTGCTCTTCAGGCGAACGGACGATGAGCGAAATAGATGACTAGGAATAAAATATCATCTCCCCTCGCTCACATTCTTAATCTGTACGTGGGGTTGATGTGACATTTGAACAATTACGTTTGCTTGGCGGGGCGAAAATGCCTTGCTAGCGGGGCGCTAAGGATATAAATTCTTGTGAACTACACCAGCGATATTGCCTACTAGTGAAACGAAAAAAGAAAACAATAAAGGCAGCATACATTATCTGCATAGCATTTTCTCTTGATGTCTACTGCCACCCTCCAGTATAACCCAGCGGCTAGTCCCACTCCTTACGGCACTACAAACAATAGAAATGTGTTAATATCTGAGTGAAGAACTGTTCAAAATCCCCCAGGCCAGATGTACAACTTACACATATTACGCAACGTGGATTGTGCACTGAGCAATCACTGCAATATTGATCACACTGTAACAACCCGTGATTAATTAGTCTTTCCTTCCAACACCATATAAGAATCTTCGGTCGTTTCATATGATTTGTGAATATACTAACAAATTCACTTGCTGCTCCAGCTTCTTCACGATGGATGAGAGACGCCTTTTGGAATCCGGACTCGGGTAAGGCTGAGGTGAGCCCTAAAACAAGAGAGAATATGATAGCGAAAAGTTTCATCGTAAAGCGTTGTGAATGAATTTTGGAATCGCAGGATGATGGTTTAGAGCAAGTGAGTGATTCGACTTTTGATGGATATGGAAGGTGCCTGTGTCTGTCTTTATAGCTCTTCCGCGCTGATCGAAACCCTCATGAGCAGTATCCTAACAAGAGATGATCGTCGACCTACTATTGAAATTTAACTTCTCCTCTCTGCAAACAGGATTACTATTGAATCTTGGCTAGAATCTTTGGTCAGAGATTCGCAGTGGAATGAATGCCTGACTAACTCTATATGTCTACCATCGGGCATACAGCTCCAGATGGTTCAGAATCGGAACAGACACAGCCTAGGGATAGTATCAAACTTACGACTAATTGTAATATAAAGTATAATGAGATGAGTAAAGCTAATGATGACCTTTATGTAATAAATTGTTTCTACTGCTGGCTAATTCATATCTAAAGATTAGTATCCCGATTATTATTCTTCAGAATATTAATCCGATTAATAGTCTCTGCAATAATATTTATTATATTATAAACTGCTTTACCTTCCGGTGTCTGGAGATCTGTCTTAATAATCCAGGTCTCGGTAATCCTTACTGTCTAATCTATCGCTGCAAGTTTACTATAGATTAAAATAGTCTTTCTTTTATCTTTATCCGGCATTAATTTCCTGTTCGGCTTATATATACTATAATTATTAATAAGACTCAGGGTCAGTCTCTATTATATATTAATATTAATCTCTGTATCCAGTCTTTCAGTTACAATTAGCTCTATATAGTCCTGTCGCAGATAACAAATACTGAGAATATCTCTATCTTACTGTCCCCAAATAATACCGATAGGAATATAGATAATATATTCTATTCCGAGATACTGTAGAATTTCTCTCTCTACTATTCTTTCTCGGGTGTTGAGAGTCTAGTTCTATCTATAGCTAACTAGTCTCTTGTCTAACTTATCTCTATTTTACTGTCTCTTTGTCTCTGTCACGGTATCTCGGCCACTATAGATCTTATAATTGAGAGATTTCCTTGATTAATAAGATATTCAGTTATCGCAGAACTGGCAGAATTTATAGGATATATAATTAGTATAACAAGTTTTCTTACTACTATTTTTATAGCTTTTCTATACAGTTCTATAGAATTCTAATATCGAGAGAGTTTCTCTTTTAGAATATAATCTTTACTGCTTTAAACTTTACTTTTAACTTTACTATATTTTTTACTTTTCTATTTATTTATTTATTTAATCAAGTTTAACGTCCATATGGAGCCAATCGGCTATGACAGACACATGCGTCTAGGCAGTGGTCTAGGCCACTGCCTCTAATTTGCCCCTAGAGGCTCTACCAGCCTCTTCTATCCTCTGTGTATTCGTTCTGGTCCTTTTCCTCGCCCGAACCGCCTATCTGCGCCAGAGCATTTGGGCTGTGCCCTCCTCGGTATTCATTGTCTATTGGGTATTACCTAGGCGTGTCTAGGCTACCCCTCCTACTATCCTTCTCCCCTACTCTCTGCTTCCTCTACTAGCCCTAGATCTCTTAGATTATCTCTAGAGATCCT